CACTCCGGGGGTAAGGGTGTTCTCCCGAGGTCGATGATGACCTTGGAGTATGCTTCAGATTCACGGTGTATATCGAGGGCGAAGCTGAAGATGTGTCGGAGTTGGACGCTCTTATCGACTCTACTGGAGCTGCTCGGTCGAGTGGCTGGCCCGGTCATCGCGTGCCGATGGATTGCCTACAGACGAGGGTGGCTGTGCTCTTGGGCGATCTGAAACGCTCCTCTGTTGGTAAGTTGACTGTTGTTATTTGTTTGTAGTTATGTGTGTGTCAGCTCAAGCGGGATGCAGATGTCCTCAAGTTCGTTCAGAATGGTTGAGGGAATGCCGGCAACAGGGCCGTGCTGTGGCCCCTGAAGCCTTCCCAGCTGACTTCACTCTGTCGAGTCCTCGCAAGTCGATGGCACCGAGGAAGTCTGAAGGCTCTTGTGAAGGTGTGACGTGGGACAACAACACTAGGGGTAAACTGGATAAGGCGGCAGCAGCAGCGAAGAGAAGTGGAATTGATGCTTCTTCTAATGGTGGATGATATTCGTCGATGCTAATGAAGTTTGAATTTGCACTAATATAGGCGTTGTGTTTCGAGGAGACAGTACTGGAATTGACTGGTCGTCAGGACGGTTATTCGTCCGGGATGGACCGTCTCGAACTCCTCGCCGTGCGTGAGGATCTCATACCACACCAGACGTAACAGTTCTGGGATCGCGTGATCATGCTCCAAAGGGTCAATGGGCTATTGAGTTGATTGGAAATTTTCCTCAATTGTAAATTATGCTCGACACTCGAAATGACTTATTGTCGTCGTTATGTTTTGATCTATGGAATATTCCCAGCGTAGTTTTTGGGATTTCAGTGCGGGCCCAGGCTCGCATGGGGCAAATTGAAGGAAGCGTCACAGGTATCGCTCGCGCGTGCGTGGCGCACGCCATTGCGGGCGACCCGTCCCAGAAGGTGGTGCAACCGGTCGAGGCTGAAGTGATAGCAATCTGGCTATCCACGAGTATCTCGAGCTGTTTTCACCCTGGAATTTTTTCTTTTGTTTTTACTAGTTTTTTGGGGGGACATTGCTTATGTGCCTGCGTGCTAGGCAATGTAACTGTGGTGTTAAGCCAATGCACGGCATGTTTTGAGGTTCGGTATTATAGCCGCCCTGTGCCGGCTGGTTGGCAAACACTCAGTCTTACGCAACACTCCAAAACGACTAATACGATGCGGTGGAGCGTGCCTCGATATTTGTTGACTCATAGTTGGTAACTATGCGTTCAAACATGATGCCGCACTAGACGCAACAACTCTACAATGGCACGACGATGTTGCGAATGAACACTGATTGACTGAGATGAAGAGAAATTTTTTCCTTCATTTAAAATGTATTTTTTTGGAAGTCGGAACAGTTTATTGTTGTCGTTACATTCTGATCTGTGAAATATCGCTCGAGTGTAATATTGGGAATTTCAACTTTCCTCGATTAGTCATTTGCCGTAAGCGGTCTACCATATTACTGCAAGATGTCTGTTGTCCAATAACGTTGAGTCATTTAGTTAGGAGTAGGCGGTAATGGAGGGATATCATGATACGTTGCTACAGGTTTTATGAGGTCTCAACCTCGAATTTCTGTTGGAAATCTTCCCAGAATTTGCAACGGTGGGTGCATCATGCACCGTGCATCGCTCCGCATAAGTAGTAGCGACGTTACGGAATGCTCCAAACGGTAAAACACGTGTTATACATCTTCATCATATGAAATATGT